ACATTCACACAGATATAAAGTGCCTAGCCCATCACAGCAGAGAAGAGCTCTCTATAGCTCGGTTGTACCAATAAGATATCAGGGATTCTTCAGAAGCCAGCCTTGAGACCTCTCATTGTGTTTTGAGAACATTATTATTAATTTGGACTTCAAAAACAAAGGCCCTGTAAAACCCTTGAAGTCTTCCTCATCTCAGGTTTTAGCGATGCCACTTGGATAAAAATTAAGGGTTCACAAAGGTCACTGCCCCCAGAAGCAGGCACTGGAAATACATAGGCAGCTCTTCTTTATCCCAAGCAGAACCCGTGTCAGCTTCCTCACCAATGGGTTCCATTTGTCTACCTGGGCTCGGACTCCCAAAGAGTAATAACCACCTCTACTGGAGAACTAGTCCAAAGCCTGGGGTTGGAGTTGGTGGGGCAACTCTTCACGGTGCTTGGAGCTGGGCTGAGGCAGGATCCTGGACCTCTCGGGGGCGTAGCCCGTGGAACGTGGTCGATTTGTTGGTGAAGGGGTGCCACTGGCCCTGGATGCTAGGGTTGTCAGTGTGGAAGGGCTTGCGGATGCGGATCACATCCAAGCCCGACTGGTTGGCCAGCTTCTGCACCAGCGTCGAGATCTCCTCCACCGACTTGCAGTGGGTGCTCTCCTAGCGCACGGCCCGGTTAAGGTATTCCGCCACTGCTGTGGGCCCGCAGCACGGACGCGAGCTCACGTATGTTACGACCCCTGGGTTCCGTCGGGCGAAGTCGATCACCTCCCGTTCCACGAACTCCCTGGCGCCGCGACACGAGGGGCCGTCGCGGCTGACACTGAAGCTCGGACTCTGCAGCTGCTGCGCGTAGCGACCCAGTCCGTTGTGGAGAACACTGGCCAAGAAGTGGAGTCCCGCGCGCAGTCATGGCTACTGCCAAGAGGCAGCGGAGCCCGGGCGGCGAGGAGAGCTTGAAGTGCATTTTTAAACACAGCATGTAGTTGAGTCTTGTCTGTGTTTTAAAAGCCAATCTAATAATCCCTGCCTTTTATTGGGATATTTAGATTATCTGAATTTAATACAATTATCCATATAATTAGGTTTAACTCTATCATCTTATTTTTTTTATCTGTTTGTTCTCTCCGTTATTTGTTTCCCCCCTTTCCTTTCCTCCTGCATTCTTTTGGAATAACTGAATATTTTTTATTATTCCATTGCTAGTTTTCTTCTTTTTTGTTGGCTTATTAGCGGTAACTTTGTTGTGTTATTTTAGTGATTATTTTAAACTTTGTAGTATACATCTTTAACTTATCACAATTTATCTTCAAGGATAGTGAACCACTTTATATATAAGAATGTTAAAATATTACAATTTCATTTTTCTCCTCCTGACCTTTGTGCTCTCATTGTACATTTTTTATATGTTATAAAATCCATATTACACTGTTTTTATTTTGGTTTAACCAGTCAATTATCTTTTAAAAATGTTTGAATAATAAGAAAAACATCCTATATGTTTACCTGTGTAATTACTATTTCTAAAGTTCTTTATTACTTTGTGTAGATTCATATTTCTATCTGGTGGCATCATTTCACTTTCCCTGAAGGAATTTCTTCAACATTTCTTATAGTTCAGTTCTGCTTGTTATGGATCCTTTCAGGTTTCACATGTCTTAAGAAGTAGTTATTTCGTTTTTGAACAGTATTATTGTTGGGTATAGAATTCCATGTTGACAACTTTTTTCCCCTGCCGTTTAGTACTTTAACAAATGTGCTTATCACTGTCTTCTCTTTTGAATTGTTTTAAATAAGAAATTTGATGTTATTTTTAATCTTTGTTTGTTTGTACATGTGTCCTTTTTCTCTGATGACTTTTAAGGTTTTCCCTTAAAAACTCGACATTCTGGTTTAAGTAATGTGATTATGATGTGTGTTGGACTAGTTTTTTTCTTTTTTCTTTTCTTTTGTCTTGGTGTTGTTGAACTTATTGGCTCTGTAGGTTGATAGTTTTCATAAAATCTGTAAAATTTTTAGCCATTATTTCTTCAAGCTTTTTCTCACCCTTTTATTTCTTTTACAGACTCCAATTACATTAAGCTGTTTGAAGCTGTCTCACCACTTATGCATACATTTTCTTTTTTATAATTTTCTTTTCTTTTCTTTTTTTGAAATGCAGTCTCACTCTGTCATCCAGGCTGGAGTGCAGTGGCACAATCTCAGCTCACTGCAACCTCTACCTCCCAGGTTCAAGTGATACTCCTGCCTCAGCCTCCCAAGTAGCTGGGATTACAGGCACTCATCACATCCAGCTAATTTTTGTACTTTTAGTAGAGAGAGGGTTTCACCATGTTGGCCAGGCTGGTCCTGAACTTCTAACCTCAGGCAACCCACCCACCTTGGTCTCCCAAAGTGCTAGGATTACAGGCATGAGCCACTGCACCAGGCAAAAATTTTCTTTTTTCTCTCTGTGTTTTATTTTGGATAGTTTCTACTATAGTTAAAGTTCACTAATCTTTTCTTTTGCTCTGCCTACTAACATTAATTCCATCCGATGTATATTTTAAAAATCTCACACATTGTAATGCTCATGTCCAAAAGTTTTATTTGGGTCTTTTTCAATATCTTTTATGTCCCTAACTTTTGGAACACATTCAATACAGTTACAATAATTTTTAAGTGTCCTCATCTGCTAATTCTAACATCTGTGTAAATTATGGGTAAGGCTCAATTGATTGATTAATCTCCTTGTTATGAGTAACATTTTCCTGATTCTTTGCTCTCCTGGTAATTTTTGATTGAATACCAGACCCGGTAATATTTTTGCTTTATGGGTTGCTGGATAGTTTCATATTTCTTCTTCTTTTTTTTTTTTTTTTTTTTTTTTGATGTGAATTCTTGCTCTGTTGCCCAGGCTGGAGTGCAGTGATGTGATCTCAACTCACCACAACCTCCACCTCCCGGGTTCAAGTGATTCTCCTGCCTCAGCCTCCCAAGTAGATGGGAGCACAGGTGTGTGCCATCATGCCTGGCTGATTTTTGTATTTTTAGTAGAGACGGGGTTTCACTATGTTGGCGAGGCTGGTCTTGTACTCCTGACCTTGTGATCTGCCTGCCTTGGACTCCCAAAGTGCTGGGATTACAGGCGTCAGCCACCGCGCCCAGCCAATTTCATATTTCTATGAATATTCTTGAGCTCTGTTCTGGGACCAGTGAAGTTACTTGATCTTTTTATGTCTTGCTTTTAAGATTTGTTAGGTAGGATGAGAACACATGGACACAGGGAGGGGACCATTACACACAGGGGTCTGTTGGGGGGAAATAGGGGAGGGACAGTGAGGGATGAGGAGTTGGGGAGAGATAGCATTGGGAGAAATACCAGATATAGGTGAAGGGGAGGAAGGCAGCAAATCACACTGCCATGTGTGTACCTATGCAACAATCTTGCATGTTCTTCAAATGTACCCCAAAACCTAAAATGCAATTAAAAAAATAAAAAAATATATTAAAAAAAAAAAGATTTGTTAGGTAGGACCAGAAGTGTGCTCAGTCTAGGGATAATTATTTCCCATTACTGAGGAAATGCCCTTCTGCTTACTGTGCCTAATGCCTGGTGAATCTTGAGATTATTGTCTAGCAGTATGTCAGCACCATTACTTTCAATCATTTTGAATGGTTCTTTCCCTCACCTCAGTGTTCTCACACATATGCACTGACTAGTACTCAGTTGTAGCTTGAGGGGGACCTTCTGCAGATAAGCAGATTTTCCTCTCTGTCCAGTTCTCTCTTCTCTGGTCATCTATATCCTATGAACTCGCCTGTCCACTTGCCAGCAGATGAGAGGTCCATGGTAGCGAAAATACCAGAATATCTGGCATCAGTAGTCTTGTCTCTGCCAATACTTATAAAAACAGAGGGACACAGATTACTGGCTTAGTTCATTTTGTGTTGTCACAACAAAACACCTGAGATGGGTAATTTATAAGAAGCCGAGATTTATTTCTTATAGTTTTGGAGGTTGGGAAGTCGAGGGCAAGGAATCCATCTCTGGTAAAAAACTTTTTTGTGTGTCATCCCATGGCAGAAGGCAGAAAGGCAAGAGAGTATGCATGCAAAAGACAGAGAGCCAAATACACTATTTTTTGGGGACAGGGTCTTGCTCTGTCACCCAGACTGGAGGGAGGGCAATGGCACAATCACAGCTCACTGTAGCCTCGAGCTCCCAGGCTTAATCAATCCTCCCACCTCAGCCTCCTGAGTAGCTGGGATTACAGGCATGCATGGCCATGGCCAGCTAATTTTTTGTTTTTTCTTTAGAGTCAGAGTTTTGCCATGTTGCCCAGGCTGGTCTCGAACTCCTGAGCTCAAGTGATCCTCCCACCTCAGCCTCCCGAAATGCTGGGATTAACAGGTGTGAGCCAGTGTGCCTGGCCCAAACTCACTTTAATTACAAACACATTCTCACAGTAATAACGTTAATCCATTCAGGAGGGCAGAGCCCTCGTGACTTGCTCACATCTGATTAGGCTCCACATCTCAACACTGTTGCATTGGGAATTAAGTTCCCAACACACAAACTTTAGGGGATGCATTCAGATCGTAACAATGACTGAAATATGATTTCAGCCTGCTGAAAGACTACCTGACATTAACAGCAATGGGTTCTTTGAAAAGAATTATAGACCTTGGGCTGTGCTAGTGCTCCGAGGTATCCATTATTTAATAAGCTCCTTGTTATTGCCACTAGTTATGTGTTAGGCAGTGATTGTTCAGTGGGGAGCAAATTTTAATAGGTGCAGACTGGAACTCTGCAGTGAAGAAAGACAAGAGACTGTGCATTCCTTAGGTAACACGGTGACTCTTGATCTCTGTCATGGTTCCAGACATCTTGACGGCTGTCTCCTGCAGCTGTGAGTGTTCTCTACCTCCGAGGCTCTGACTGGCAGAGTGGGTTGGTAGTGGGAGGAGGTGAATGCGGATGATGAGGAGGATAGTCCCAGGAAATGAACAGCCTGTTTTCTAATCACAGGTGCCTTCTTCATCCCCTACCTCATCTTCCTGTTTACCTGTGGCATTCCTGTCTTCCTTCTGGAGACAGCACTAGGCCAGTACACTAGCCAGGGAGGCATCACAGCCTGGAGGAAGATCTGCCCCATCTTTGAGGGTGAGTAGCTCTGTGCCTGATTCCAAGGCATCTTCATTAGTGGTTATAAACCTTTCTGGAATGACTGGAGTGATTAGCAGCAGTTCTGAGGTTAAGATAAGATCACAAGTCTCTATGTTAAGCCCTTGGTTTGCAGGCTGCATACTGAGCTAGTCAGCTGGTCCATCAGAGAATGGGGGAGAAACAGCAGTAAGCATGGGGCAAAGGATTTAGGTTAGTTAAGCAGAGTGCAAAGCTACTTTAGCTATATGTTTTCAATACATAACAATGTCTTTGTATTTTAAGACACATTTTCATCAATTATAAAGCATTTAAAAAGATAACTTCAAATGAGAAAAAATTATTTCATTAATAGTTCTAAATTGGCCGGGTGCGGTGGCTCATGCCTGTAATCCCAGCACTTTGGGAGGTTGAGGCAGGTGGATCACCTGAGGTCAGGAGTTCAAGACCAGCTTGGCCAACATGGTGAAACCCCCGTCTCTACTAAAAATATAACAGATGACCCAGGTGCGGTGGCGGATGCCTGTAATCCCAGCTACTCAGGAGGCTGAAGCAGGAGGATTGCTTGAGCCCAGGAGGCGGAGTTGCAGTGAGCTGAGATTGCGCCATTGCACTCCAGCCTGGGCAACAACAACAACAACAACAACAACAACAACAACAAAAAGTTCTATCTGACACAAGGATTTAAAATTTACAGTATTTAATTTCATGATTTCTCCATATGTAGGATTTTCTCTACTCACAGGAAGTTACAAAAATAGTTGTTTTCCTCTATGGTAAATTGGATTCCCTGCCTCAGACAACCCTCCCACCTCAGGGTCCCACTATAGCTGAGATTATAGGTATGCGCCACCACTGTCCACTGTCCCTAGCCCAATTCTGCAGTTTCCCTGCAGGCATTGGCTATGCCTCCCAGATGATCGTCATCCTCCTCAACGTCTACTACATCATTGTGCTGGCCTGGGCCCTTTTCTACCTCTTCAGCAGCTTCACCATCGACTTACCCTGGGGCAGCTGCCACCATGAGTGGAACACAGGTACGCTCATCACCCGAGGGTCCACTCCTCTTCCTGTTCTGCCACACTACCCAGAAGTGGGATTGTCCCTATATGGCAGCTTAACACGGACACACCCGAAATCACCCAAGTAGATCATGGAGAGCTTACGTCAAGAATAAGACCAAGCATTCACCAGCCTCACAGCAAAATGTCATGAACTTTTTAAAGAAAAAATTAATATATTCAATTAATGTGTTAGGCAACTAGAACTGACCACCTTTTTATGTCATTTAGCCATTTACTTAAATCAATTTGAAATATGGTTAGTTTAATATATCGATATATTTTTGTTCATTCATTTGTTCTTGTATCTTCTTTCTGATACCATTTTCGGTCTTTCAAACTTACAATTCATCTGGACTTGCTTGTCAGGGGTGGCAGAGGCGGGAGAAAAGCCACGTATAAGTGGACCCGCACAGATCAGATCCATGTTGTTCAAGGGTCCGCTGTGATTTATAATAGCAATTACAGTCACGTGCCACTTAATGACAGGGGTACACACTGAGAAATGCATTGTTGGCAATGCCATCCTTGTGTGAACATGACAGAGTGCAGCTACACAGACATAGATGGCACAGCCTGCCACACACCTGGGCTGTGTGCTGTAACACCGTACTGAACAGTGGAGGTACTTGTGGCACAATGGTAAGTATTTGCGTATCTAAATATAACGAAACATAGAAAAGGTACAGTAAAGGTGCAGTATTTTAGAATCATGTGGGAACGCTGTCATATGTGATCCCCTGTTGACTGAAACGTTGGCATGTGCTGCTTATCTGCAATTTCTCCTGTGCTTATAAGACTACCTGAGCCACCCATGGCCATAGTACTCCTGAGTCTAATGTGCAGAAAGTAACAGCAATGACAAAAACATCTAGGGCAATACTGTCCAAAAGAACTTTCTGTAATGATGAAAATGTTCTTTGCACTATCCAATATGGTAGCCACATGTGGGTATTTATTTATTTACTTTTTATGGACAGTCCCACTGAGCTAGTGTAGGTTTGGAGTGACTTTTGCATGTGGTTCCTAAGCACCAGAAACGTGGCGAGTGGCCTGAAGAACAGAACCTTAACATTTGCATTGAGCCACGTGGCTCGTGGCTGCCCTACTGGAAGGCATGGCTGGAGAGCAGAGGGGACATGGTTCTGCTTGGATTCTTGGCACATCCTGCTCTCCTTGTCCGAGTATCTTCCAGTGCCAGTCAACGAGGTCCTACCCCTTTGAAGTGGGCTAACCATGATTGATTCTTTCTTGCTCAGATGAGTTACTCAGTTCTGAAGTGAGTTTGAATCCTTTACTTGCCAGGAAAAGCATTTTGCATGGCTAGTGTGGTATTCATTATCCTTCATGACCTGGCTCCTGTTTACGTCACCACTTCACCATCAGCTCCATCGCCTTGTACTTTAGGCTCCCCTTCCAGGCACTTCTGTATGCATTACTGCCACTACCTCCATTCCACCATTATTTTTCAAAAGGAAAGTAAACCTTGGGGGTACCTCCTCTGAACCCCAAGATTGCATTAGGTTCTTCTCAAATGTGTCTGCTGGTACCTGCACTGGCCCAGCCCTACCGTGCCGCTTCCCTCACTTTCCGTCTGTTTGTTAACTGGTTTCCCGCTAGTCAGCAAGATCTTGAGGGCAGGAAAGGTGTCTTCATCTCCATGACCTCTGTGCCTAGCATGGTGCTGGCTCTATCATAAGACTCAAAGACATTTATTGAATGAACCAGGTTTAAAGATCTGTTTTATTATAATTCATCCGGGCGCACTGGCTCATGCCTATAATCCCCACACTTTGGGAGGCTGAAGCTGGTGGGTCGCTTGAGCTCAGGACTTTGAGACCAGCTTGGGCAAGACAGTGAAACCCCATCTCTACTAAGAATACAAAAAACGGCCGGGCACGGTGGCTCACGCCTGTAATCCCAGCACTTTGGGAGGCCGAGGTGGGTGGATCACGAGGTCAAGAGATCGAGACCATCCTGGTCAACATGGTGAAACCCCGTCTCTACTAAAACTACAAAAAATTAGCTGTGCACGGTGGCGCGTGCCTGTAGTCCCAGTTACTCAGGAGGCTGAGGCAGGAGAATTGCCTGAACCCAGGAGGCGGAGGTTGCGGTGAGCCGAGATCGCGCCATTGCACTCCAGCCTGGGTAAAAAGAATAAAACTACAACACCTTCTCGAAAAACAAGGAAAACAAAAAAAAAAAGAATACAAAAAATTTGCCAGGGATGGTGGTGCAGGCCTGTGCCTAGCTACTTGGGAGGCTGAGACAGGAGGATTGCTTGAGTCTGGGAGATGGAGGTTGCAGTGAGCCAAGATTGTGCCATTACACTCAAGCCTGGGTAGCAGAGAAACATTTGTACCCCCAAAAATCTGTTTTATTATAATTCTTTAGCTATATATGTGTGTGTATATATATACACACACACACACACATATATATGCATATATATATACATATATATGGCTATACATTTATTATAATGTATTATAATTCTTTAGCTATATATATTCAGTAAACATAGATATTTAAAAAAATAAATAAAAAGGAAGAATACGATCACGCCATTGCACTCCAGCCTGGGTAACAAGAGCGAAACTCCGTCTCAAAAAAAAAAAAAAAAAGGAAGAATACATTTATTATAATTCTTTAGCTATATATAGCTAAAGAATTTATTTATATACATTTATTATAATTTACATAAATTAGCTATATACATATATTTATTTATAATAGCTATATTCTTTAGCTATATTTATTTTTATATATAGCTAAAGAATTATAATAAATGTATTCTTTCTTTTTATTGATTTATTTTTTAAAATATCTATGTTTACTGAAACCACCTTTGACAACCAGCTTGTCAGAAGTAAAGGTTTGATCCAGATCTCAGGGGACTTCCTATTGCAACAATGTTGTCAGGTCTTGGTGGCCCAGAGCCTTCTCTTCAGGGCATTATCAGGCCTGTCTTCCTCTGGATCGACTGGGGGTCTCTGGGACAATCCTGGGGCCGATTGAATACCTGAGTCTTAGGTTTTAGCATTGCTGACATCTCTCCTAGCGAGCCTGGTTTTACTCAGAACCTAGCATTTGAATTGCACAAGACACGCTGTCCTGCCAAGATGAGATAATGCTTTTCTGGGTGTGCTGCAGCGTCAAGGCAAGTGAAGGGTTTAGTGGAGAGAGCACCCAGCTGGCCTTCAGTCACCCACCAGATATTTGTTGAGCTCCTGCTATATGCCAGGCTCTGTTCCAAGCACCAGGAATATGGTAATAGACAAAAACAAAGACCCCACCCTCCTGGGGCTTTCATTTCAGTGATGGGAGGTAGGCATAAACAGAACAGGTGGATGCGAAGTGTCCCGTTAGAAAGCAGCAGTATGGGCTGTGTTAGAAGATGGTCTATGGAGGAAAATAAAACAGGGACCGTGAGTTTTATGGGTGGGGTGGCAATTTGAAGTTGCATGGTCAGGAGAGGTCTTACTGAGATGCCCCTTGAGTAATGGTCTGTAGGAGGAGGGGGAATGAGTCATTGAGCTGGGGGATGAGAACTCTAGGAAGAAGGAGCTGAGGCGGCAGTGCACCTGACATACCCAAACGTGTGCAGGGAACAGGGTGAGTGTGTTGGGGCAGGTGGCTGCGGGGAATGGGGTGGGAATGGATCCAGCAGCGCCTTGGAGGGGATGAAAGGGTTGCAGCTTTACTCTTCCAGTGGGATGGGAAACCCACTGGAAGCTTTTAGCTGGGGTGCGACCTAGAGTGATCTCAGGTTTAACAACATTGCCCCTGCTGCTACATGGAGATTTCATGAGGGGACCAAGGGTGGAATCTGAAGGGCAGGTAGGAGCGGGGAGCTGACGGTGCCTCCCCTGTATCAGGGGGGTGGTAGTGGAGGTGACAAGAAGCATCGGCCTAGAAATTTTGAAGGTAGAACCTAGACAATTTGCTGACCGGGTTCCAGCTTCCACTTGTCATTCACGAGCAGATACAGGACATTTCTAAGATCCACTTTCTTCATGGGCACAATGGGGAAACAGTATCTGTCTCAGTATTTCCCGGATTATTGTATTGTATCAGTACTCTTTGTAAAACTCCAGAGTCACATACAAATAAGGAAGAGAACCGTGTATTGAGCACTCTACCTCCAGGTTTTCATTTAATTTCTCATCAATCCCACGTAATGGATCTTACTTCTACATTTTAGAGATGAGGGCAGCAAAACACAGAGAGCTGAGTTATAACTTACCCACAACCACACAGTTCATACCCAGGGGTCATATTCAAGCCGGAGCTTTCCAGCCTGTGCTCTTAGCCACTCTGACACATCACTTCCCTAGAAGTCATTCTCATTATTCCTCGAAGGCAGTGACTTTGCACAGGGCACTTACCTAGAAATGTTAGCAATGCTTTGAAGCAGCTGGCCTGGTGAGCATCTCTCCTGGTGTCAACTAATCATGCCTGAGGAGAATATATACCAAGCATCTGCGCACCCACATGTCCAAGTGTGTGGGAGAGCATGAGCCGTGTTTGTCGAGGTGATTATGCGTGGGAAGATGTTCTGTACAGATAACCTTAGCCCGGCTCCTGCCAAAGACCTTCCTTCCCATGCTCCTAGAATTTCACCCCACTTTCTAGTGGAGTCATATGCTGGCTGATGATTTTTCTCTTTCTTTCCTCCTTGTGACTCACGGGTAGAACACTGTGTGGGGTTCCAGAAGACCAACGGCTCCCTGAATGGTACCTCTGAGAACGTCACCTCCCCTGTCATCGAGTTCTGGGAGTAAGTGAGGCCCCTTCCCCACCCAGTGTGGGCTATGTATTCAGAAGAAGGATGCGGGGAGGGGTTCACACCAAGGTCACTCTCAATGGACGGCAAGGGAAGAATTTCCACTAAGTGGCTTTTTTCTGCAGTGCCTGTGTTTGTGGTTATTGCAGGACTGGTTTCAGAGATGAGACTTTTGCAGTTCTCCTGGGGCTGTGTCTGGCCTTCCTAGCCAGCACCTCGCCCCATGTCAAAGAGTGCGTGTGTTCCCACTCCGCACTCCCTCCTCCCAGCAGATGCAAGTGTGTGGACTCTGACCCACCCCTCCCCCCAGTACCGATATTTACCCAGGGCATGAGTCCTGCTGTCAAAATGTCCCGAAACCCTGGTTGGGAACACAGGTGTCTGCGCCTCCCTCCCCCGGCCAGGGACAAAGCTCTCAGAGCAAACTTACCTGGAAGAGTCTCCATTCTCTACCTTTATGTCCACCTCCAGCTCTGGACAAAGGGTGGCCTCATGGGTCCCAGTGAAGACAGCAAAGGGGCCTTTGGACAAGAGCCTGGAGCCACGGCTCCTCTGTCCCAGGCACATGGGCCACAAAACTGAGGCTGGCAGAAAAAGTAAGCCAGGTCCATCCCTTCTCTCCCCAGGCGGCGGGTCTTGAAGATCTCCGATGGGATCCAGCACCTGGGGGCCCTGCGCTGGGAGCTGGCCCTGTGCCTCCTGCTGGCCTGGGTCATCTGCTACTTCTGCATCTGGAAGGGGGTCAAGTCCACAGGCAAGGTTCGTGTGGGGAGCTCCTGCTCCTCCCATCCCAGGACTCCCTGCCTTCACTGGGGCTGTCACCCAGGAGCTCTCTAAGCCATGGCCCCGTCAGGAATGGGAGGGGATGACCCAGGAAGGACTTGCTGCTCTCTCTTTGATTCTGTGCCTCCCTTGGATTCACATGCATCTGCTTTTCGGGACGTTAACTGGAAGACAGTGAGAAAGGCAGGAAGGACACCCCCAGGGTCATTTGTTCTTAGAACTGACCATGTGTGTGGGCACGTTGCAAAATGAACACAAGTCATGGTTCCCTAATTTATACAACAGATCTTTGGAAAAAGAAGTCCATGAAGACTCTTCATCTCAGAATGATTCTTAACCAACTCAAGAATTCCGGGAGACTTTGCCCTGGAGCAAAGAGAGCATTCTGAATTCTGAACTCTTGCCCTGGGGGCCTCTCTTAATCTGGCTGCCTGGCTGTGCTAAGCTAGTAAGCTCTGTGAGGACAGGGGTCACATGTCACAAATCTTTTCATATCTGACAACCCTTGCCATGAATGCCAAGCACACTTGTTGGGAGAATGCCACATGTCATTCAGTCACTCAACAAATATTTTCTGAATATGTGCCAGGGGAGGCGGGGGCTTAAAAGCTGAGGAGGAAGGGAGGGGGTAGACTGTGGCTCAGGGCTAGGGGAGATGGAACCAAAGAGCTGCGGGCGAGCTGGGAGCAGGAGGAGCCCTCACTCCCTTGACCTTTTTGAGGAGCTCCTGCCCTGCCTCCTGCCCCTGCCGCTGCCTCACTCACGAGTTCCTTGTCTCTCATTTGCCCGTGGCCAGGTGGTGTACTTCACAGCCACATTTCCTTACCTCATGCTGGTGGTCCTGTTAATTCGAGGGGTGACGCTGCCCGGGGCAGCCCAAGGAATTCAGTTTTACCTGTACCCAAACCTCACGCGTCTGTGGGATCCCCAGGTAAGAAGCCACAGACAGGAGCACTCATGGTTAACTCCCTGATGTCACCATGGCATTTGTAAACTGTCGTGGCACTGGTGGGAGTGTCTTTCAGCATGCTAATGCATAATAATCTGCATATACTGAGTGGTGAGGAAGACCAGAGGTCACTTCCGTGGCCATCTTGGTTTGGGAGGGTTTTGGCCTCCTTACCGAAAGGTCTTTATGACCTGTATCTTATGACAACCCCAGTCTCATCCTGTGACTTAGGATGTCTAACCTCCTGGGAATGCAGTCCAGGATGTCTCAGCTTTATTTTACCAGCCCCTATTCAAGCTGGAGTTGCTCTGGTTCAACCGCCTTTGACATGTTAGCAGCTGTTTGTGGTCATGAAGTGTGTGACACTGTCCCTTCTTGGGTTCACAGCTGCCAGGGAACCCAGGCAAATATTACTAGGTAATATTTCTAGTAATATTTCTCAAGGGCTGCAAGTGTCACTCACAGCCCTTACTCAAGGGTGTCCTTCTCCCGTACTCTCCCCACCCGCTTCCTGCATTTACCTCTTAGGATCTCATGTTCTACTGTAGAGCTTCCTCTCTAATTCTTACCCCTCAATCTGCCACCCGGTTCCCTCCCTCTGCCCATGTGACCCATGCCCAGCTGGGCTGGTGTTGTTTCCCTCTCAGTCGTCCGGAGGCTCTGGGTCCCCTCCCGCCTTTCCTTCGTGGTCTGCACTTCCTCTGCTACAGCCTGGCTTCTTTACCGCCCCGGTAGGGAGGGGCGGTGTTGCCTGCTGGAAGGGACTTGGAAAGCAAGGTCTGGAATGGGCCGCTCCTGCTTCTGACAGGTCTCCTAACTAGCCCTGGCAAAGGCAGGAGGTGTTGAGGGCCAGAGGGGTGGGTGGGTAAGCCCTGCCCCAGAGGCCCTGAAATGTTGTTACCCGGTTATGCCCCACCTCTGCCTCCTGGCTGCAGAGGCCGGCCTCCCGGGGGAGTGAGTGTACAACCCAGAGATCCTCCTCTTTTGCTGGAAGAGTCTCTCTATGTCTGTGAAAGAAGTCCCAAGGAGACATGAGGGCGGCTGGCTCCCAGCACGTAGACACTGGGATGGCTTTCCAAACATTTTAAGATGGTCGGGCACCGACTTATTCACTGACACTGCTGACAGGGAGCAAGAGGAAGGGGACGGCACACTGAGGCTGGGAGCTCCATGCACACAGCAGCAATGGCTCCCCCTGTGCAGAACGTCAGGCGATCCAGAGGCCGAACACTTCTCAGGTTTTGATCCTTTCATCCTGAGCTGTACTGGGATGCTGTGGCTTCCAGAAGCAGCCAGACCACTGCAATTCAGAAACCTCCCTGCAGAGTCAAGTAGCTCTGGTCCTGGGTGTTTCTGAATCATCTTCTGGTGGGATACGGAGCTTATCCTTCCCTTCTCCCATTTCTCAGACAGTATAGAGATATAGATTTCTACTGCCTCATGTCCATGCAGGGCATGAGAGCTGCAGTCAGGCTTTGGAGCCAAACTGTAGAAGCATGGGGGGGTGGGGGGTCCTAGAAGGACCCCAGTTCATGTTCCTCATTGCAAGATGAGCACACTGTGGCCTAAGGTTGAGCAGCCGGTAATTATGGCAGCCCAGATATCTTTGTTTTGTGAATCATAAGCCCTTTGACTCATCTGGATCAAAGGGCTGTGATAGACAGCAGGTGGCAAGCAGGGGTTGTAGGGGGAAGTTGATTGGAGGGGAGGCTTTGAAGCCTGGGTGAATAATTTGGCTTGAATCCCCCAAACAAGAGAGAGCCACCGCGGTTCTGGAGCAGCAGAGTTGAGAACCAGTGGCTAAGCTAAAAAGATCACCTTTGTCTGCAGGGAAGCCAGAGAGGAAGGAGGCATGCTGAGGAAAGGTGACAGGCAGGTAGCTGGCCGAGAAAAAGGACACAGGGGCTCAGTATTTCCACAACAGATTCATGGCTTTGTCATGATCAGGGAGTGCTCACTCTGTCCCTGACATGGTTAAGAGGTTTACAGGCATGATTTCAGCAAATGCTCACAGTAGATCAATAGACATCCCCATTTTGTAGATTAGGAAATTAAGGCCTTGAGAGCTTAAAGAATTTTTTTCATTCTCATACCTGCAACTGGGACCAGGTCCAAATGATGAGAAATCCCATGTACTTTATGATCCGCTCTTGGAGCAAGGTCCCTGGCTGCTCACCTTTGTTTCCATCAAAGCTTATTCATTCAGCAAAAACCTGAATGAATCTACTCTGAGCATCTACAATGTGCCAGGCCTGTTCCAGGTGCCATGTCTGGTGTATAATAGCTTCCAGCAATCATAAAAGAAGGTGGACCAGGTAGCCTTCAGCTTCTGAGCATCGATGAAGCCATAATTCCCTGCCTGGGTGACTGCAGGGACAAAGACCTCTTTCAGTTACACTCTGAGATACCATTCTTTCCATTCCAGCCAGCTGTGGGCTGTGCAGGGAGCATCTATCTGTCAAGTGCTTTGAGGCCAGGGGAAGGGGAAATTCGTTCAAATGCCAGGACTGGTCCTGAGCAGACTTCTTCCCTGCCTGGTCCAAGCTTCATGCTGGAGCTCGGTCTTTCTTGCCCCTGAGCAAAGCAGCACTTGCAGGGTGGGGGTGCTCTGCCAGAGCCCTGACTGAATCTGGTTGGCACTCCCCAGGAAGTGTGATCATTCTAACTGGCATTGGTCTGGCACTTGAGAAAGGTGCAAAATTTCTTCTCCCTGACACACAGACCAAAGACATCTTTCTCTGCCAAGCACTGAGGCCGGTTGCTGGGAGCCAAGCAGAGACGATGCAGTGCTCCCTCTTGTTTGCTCCCCTTCTTCTGCCAGGCTTGCTGTTTGGGGGGCAGGTTGTTGCCGTGCCCAGTGTTCCCAGGCCTTGTCTCGTCCCCCTGGGGAATGGAGACCCAGGGCTCTGCTGGAGTGTGCGCTTTATTCAGACCACTTGTTTCTTTCCCGGGTGCTGGCCCTGTGCCTTTTCCACTGCACTGTAGGAGATTGCTGAGGGGAGGATGGGAGAAGGCATCCAAAGAGCCCTTGTGGAACATATAAAATTCCTATGTTGGCTGGGCACGGTGGTGCATGTCTGTAATCCCAGCCCTTTGGGAGGCCGAGGCAGGTGGATCACAAGGTCAAGAGATCGAGACCATCCTGGCCAATATATCCAATATATCCTGGCCAATCTCTACTAAAAATACAAAAATTAGCTGGGTGTGGTGGTGCGCGCCTGTAGTCCCAGCTACTCAGGGGGCTGAGGCAGGAGAATGGCTTGAACCCAGGAGGCGGAGATTGCAGTGGGCCGAGATCGCATCACTGTACTCCAGCCTGGTGACAGAGCGAGGCTCCATCTCAAAAAAATTAAATAAATAAATAAATTCCTATGTTAAGCCATTCTAAGGAAAGGTTTGTTTAGAGAGGAAGCTGAAATCACTGATTAAAACTAGTCTTTATTTTAGTATTGAAATCCAATCTATGCCACCTCATTATCACTGAAAGATGAGTTGCTTTTTAAAATAATAGCAACAGCAAACAGTGGCCAAAGCTAACTTATTATGCGCTTCTTATTCACCAGGCCCTTTGCTGAGTGCTTGACACAGTTCAGCCCTGTGAGTTTGGGGTCAATCTCATCTTGCAGATGAAGAAACAGAAGCTTAGGAAACCTAAGAAACTTGCGCAGAATCACAAAACTAGCATGTAGGGGAGCTGGGCTTTCATCTCAGGTAGTCTTTTGATGACTGCTGTCTTACTTACCATGATAGGTATTTCTCAAAGACTATGAATTACTTGAGAGTTTTAAGAGCTGCTTTTTATTATTCTAGAAGATGAGACAGGGAACTAATATTTATTTATGTGTTAGGCATTTTACATACATTAGTTTTGTTATTATACCCATTTTCCTGATGAGAAAAGGGAGGTTCAGGGGGTTTAAGTGACTTTTCTAAGGTCACACAGCTGGTAATTAATAAAGTCAGGATTGAGACCAGATTAATGTAGCTTCAAAGCCTGTACTTTTCCATTACACAACATTGCCTTCCTAAAAATAGCGGATAAAGGTTAATAATCCTGGGGGTTGGACTTGAGGCTGAAAACATCTTTCCTGGACCCTCTAGAGTCCTCTCTCCTCCTCTTTCCCCCAAAGACCTCTTTTACCTGTGCTCCACCAAGAATTTTTCACACTTGTTTTTCCCTTGGTCGGCCTTCTGCCCCAGCCAAAGACGTATCAGAGTTTTGTTCCAGAAACCAGGGCTCCTGGAATGGGCAGGGAGTGGCTGCCTGTGGTGGTGGGAACGGAACAGCTTGCTCTGCTTGTCCTTCAGCCCCGCTTCTGACCCTGTTCCTTTCTCCGTCCCAGCAGGCTTGTCGGGCAGCAGCTGTGTGGGGAGCTGGGGCTTGCCAAGCTCCCAGCGAGGGGGCTTTGGTCAAAGGCTTTGGTCAAAAAGCGCATTGACCCCTGCGCCCTGGGTTTTCAGCCCTCCTGCTGCATTTTCCTCGGTTCTCATTAACCTCTCCCCCAACTGAGTCTCCATCTGACCCCACTTCTATCTCCCACCCCCGCCAAGGCGTGGTGAACGGCCAAGTCACGATTTCTCTTATTATTCCTTCCGAAGCACAAGTTCACAAAGCTGCCCATCACAGGCATGTGCCCCTGCCTGCGTGTGGGCAGCCACAGTGGGTTTCCTTGGTGACTCGTGGCCCACTCTGTACCCAGTGCACTGTCAGGCCTGGGAGCGAATGTCCAGGGCATGAGGCTCTCAGGCCACACCCCAAATGGCCTGTTTGGTAGGGGACACCCAACCTCATGAAGGGGCAGTACCTGTGGGTCTCAGGAGACATGCGTTAGTCCCGAGCCCTTACACCTCTGACCCTGGGAAAATACCTTCAATGCCTTCTCTACAGCTCAGGGCCTTTTGCTACACGATCCCACTCTTGAAGCTGTGAATAACAGCCGGCAAAGCAGGAATGAGATAGAATGGAGAGACTTTCATGCCAAAGTCAGTGAGTTTTCCTGAGATGATCACCTTTGCAGGCTCGGTATGGCAGAGTTTTAGAAGAGAAAAGGATTTGGAACATCTTGAAGGAGCAAAGAGACTGGCCAAGGTATCTCCCCAAACTTGGCGTGGCATCGCACTGAAATTTTTAAAAAAATTATTACTGAGAGAAGTGAGACACTGAAATTTGCAAGCACTCCCCTTGCCTGTCCTCAGGGTTTGTCTCATTCCCACCCTTTCCCTCTCTAGCATTTCATTCCCACCATTTCTTTCTCTGTGTGATTTCCTCACTGGCTCCAGCTCCTCCAAATCTTCCTCTGTGCTTCTTGCTGCTGACCCATTGTCCCTGGTGGCACCTCCTGTCTTGGGACAGGATTCCCCGGAACTCAAGAACGGGAGGCTGCAGACATTCTCCCTTCCCCCACTGTCTTCCCTGCTCTGTCCCTGGCCCTGCAGAATGGAAACAGGACTCGAGGATGGGTGCCCTGGGTGTACCCCTGATGCCTGCTCTCAAGGGCCAGAGGACAGTGTTCCATACCTGGTCATCATTAGGATTACCCAGGAAGCTCTGAAAGGATACGAGTTCAGGGTTCTCCTTCAGGCCTAGGGATTCAATGTCTCAACTGGGGATGCTGGCTGAGGAATCAGCATGATTCTGAGGTGGTCAGCCTGCCGATGGGTCCTCTACACCGCTGAGGTATGTGGCCACTTTGGTAGGGGTGAGTGTGAAAGGAGAGAGCAAGGGGTAAAGGCTGAGGATGGTGGCCATGCCTAGAGAGACAGGCAAAGACCGGGAAGGGACTGAGGAATTGGAGACCTGATAATAGCAGAAGGGAGCAGTGAAAGGATAGAGGGTTTTATGGAAAGCAGGGCCCTGCTTGGGGGGTACTGGAACAAGGCTGAGCAAAAGACATGGGCAGGTCATCTGGCGCCCTTTCCCTTAGGAACACAGACACGTGAGGAACACCTGCTTGGATGTCCGCATCCATAGCGGGATGCTCCCTGGCGATGCTCACGTCGCCAGAGGCAGGAGCGCCTGGGGAGGGCTCTGCAGAGCTGCAGGATCGCTCGGTCCTGTTGCCTTGATGTTCTTTCTGTCTGGGATGTTATTCTAGCTGTTAGATCTAAATCATAACATGCGCAGGCTGGGCCAGCCAGCTGAGATAATAACAATAACAGCAGAACCCTAAGTTTAGCCCGACAGTGATCTTCCCCTCCCGAGGAGTACAAAGCCTTTTCAGAGGTGTTTCTGTTCATCCTCTTGCCTTTTTATGAGCCAAGAATTTCTCTCCCTGTCTTCAGACAGAGGGTGCTGAGACGTGAGGGGCAAAGCTACATTACTGGTGGTGGCCCTGATACTAAGGACAGTGTTTCTGGAGATCCTGTGCCTGGATTCCTTCCACACTGGTCCTAGCAAGAAGTTGGGGCAGAGCCTAGGATCAAAACCTGACAGGAGACCTAGCGTTGTCCTGGAGCCCCGTCCCATCCTCCTGCAGGCTTCCGCCATGGGTCTTTTAGTTTTTTTGATTTTCTTTGAGTGCCTGATGCCTGTTCTATCCTAGTAGTGCCCAAGAAACTTCATGTAGGAGTCAAGGGAGTAGAGCCCACTGGGTGAGCAGGGGTAGCAGGGTGCCGGCGTTGGCTGCGAACAGCTTTCTCACCATACCTAGCCAGCGTCTGGCCCAGCCGCATGCCTGCGTCCTCCTGTGGCTCAAATGGCCTGGCTTTCCTGGGAGTTCACCTTTCTTGCCTTTTCCTTTTGTAGGTGTGGATGGATGCGGGCACCCAGATCTTCTTCTCTTTCGCCATCTGTCTTGGGTGCCTGACAGCCCTGGGCAGCTACAACAAATACCACAACAACTGCTACAGGTGATTGGGGGCGTGGGGCCTGAGCCACACACCTGCTACTGTCCCTCCAGCCACGCTAGATGAGGGGTGAGTTGGAGGGTGCATTAGCTCCTGGATTTGTCCCCTACACTCCCATTTCCAACACCCCAGAGGTACCAGGAGCTGCAAGGAGCCAACTGAAAGACGGGCAGAGACTTGCATCGGAAAGGGTGGGATAGTTGTGATTGGCTGGGAGACCACAGCAGGAGGACCTGGCCTCCTGGCTGATGTAGAGGTTAGTGGGCTCAGGAGTGCTGGGTAAGCCAGCCCGAGAAGCACAACAGGTCCTTGAATAATGTCGTTTCCTTTTACCTTTGATGAGAAAAAGAAACTGGTTTCAATAGAGGTTGTTTTGCTTAAAATTGCAATTTGCAAGAATGCATCGGTGATGTGAAGTGAGGTCCTACTGTGATTAGCAACGTCATGCATTGCACCCCGGTCCCTGTCCTGAAAACGTTGAATCCTTACCCGTTTTTCACACCATCTCCCTCACTTCATGTCCTGTCCCGGTTGTTCTCCCCTTGCCTACCTGGTTTGTGCTCAGAGAATTTAAGCCAATTTTAATAGGAGCTGAAAAGTAGCTGAAATGAAATCACATTGTGCATCTCAAAATCGAATTTAGGTGACTAAGAGTTATATATTGTCTGGGATTACCCATGTCTCTACCCCTGTGTCAGCATGCCAAATGGAATGATGGCACAGTGGTAGTGTCTCATGAGGTGTGGACCAATATGGCAGAGAGGGGTGGCTGTCACATCTAGATTCATGTTTTACTTCCCTGGAGCCTCATTCTTTTAGGACTACCTTGATTTATTCCATGTCTGGGCTGGTGGGGCTGAGGAGTGTTGAGGAGAGCCAGTGCTTTGCCTGGTCCTCTGAATTCTGCCAGGCAGCTCTGCTCCAGCTTCCGTGAAGGGGCTGTGCTTCCAGACAGGAAGCAGGTGAGGTTGCAGCCCTCTTCTGACTCTGCCCTTCCACCCTCTCCTCACCCCTGCCCCACAGGGACTGCATTGCCCTCTGCTTCCTCAACAGCGGCACCAGCTTTGTGGCCGGGTTTGCCATTTTTTCCATCCTGGGCTTCATGTCGCAGGAGCAGGGGGTGCCCATTTCTGAGGTGGCTGAGTCAGGTGAGTGTTAGTGGGGAGGCCTGGAGGCAGTGAGCCTGGTTCACACCTCTGGCAGCCAGGGTCCAGAGGCGTTCCTATTGTGTCACCTATACTCTGGGTGAGCTATGGCCACCATTCAGTGGATGTGTTCTGAGAAGGCTTGGGGGAGAATTGAAACAGTCATTCCAGCTTTAAAGAGTCGGCGTAGAGTGAACATTTTTCTTCCCACCCTTGGATTCCAGTTCCTTACCCTGGAGGCAGCCAATGGTATCTATTTCATGTTTATCCTTCCAGAAACAGTTTAGACATATATGAGAAAAAAATGCATATACAGACATATACATGCAATACATAGTACTATTTCTATTTCTTGCCTTCTTCTTAAAAACCAAATGACAGCATCCTATATACACTGTTCTGCACCTGGCCTCATTTTGCTCACTTTAAAATGTATCCAAAGGAGACGTTTCTATCAGCATATAGAGTTTCCCTATGTGCAAGTGACTGCCTTTCCACCACGCAGTGCTGCTGTTGCCCCATCTGGATAAGCTGTGCAGTGTTTCGCTCACTCGCTCACTCTTAATGAGATGATTTCTTCCAATGACATTCACAAGCGTGCCTGGGCCACACAGGGTGCCAAGCTCTGAGCAGTGGACGTCTCCAATTCTCATTAAGAAGGATAGTGTCTCTCTCTCTCTCTCTTTTTGTTTTTTTAATTTTTTTGAGACCGAGTCTTGCTCTGTCGCCCAGGTTGGAGTGCAATGACATGATCTCGGCTCACTGCAACCTCTGTCCCCTGGTTCAAGTGATTCTTGAAGTGATTCTTGTGCTTCAGCCTTCTGAGTAGCTGGGATTACAGGTGTGTGCCACCATGCCCAGCTAATTTTTGTATTTTTAGTAGAGACAGGTTTCCACCCTGTTGGCCAGGCTGGTCTTGAACCCCTGGCTTCAAGTGATCCACCCGTCTCAGCCTCCCAAAGTGCTGGGATTATAGGTGTGAGCTGCCATGCCTAGCCCATGTCTCACTTTCATTAAGTGTTTACTGTATGCCAGGCTCTGGGTGAGGCACTCTGCTCGTACCATGCAACGGAAACCTGCGGGGCAGGCCCTGCACGACCCCCACCTCAGCAATGTGGGAGCAAAAGACCTCCAAGGTCACAGCCATGCTCTTCATTTTTCAGAGGAAACTTCCCATGGGTAGACCCAGGCTCTATCATGTACATTTTTTCCTGTGATGTGAGTCAGCTGAAATTAACATTCATGTGCTGTGAGGACGTGTGTCAACAGCATTCTGAAATCAGTGCCAGGGTACTCATTGTAGGGTGATAGAAAGGGCTCCAGGTGCAGAGGTGGTAAACTGGAGGCCCCAGGCCAAATCTAGCCTTAGAGCAATTTTCTTTGGTGCCATCTACATTCCTTACAAATGCAAAAAACATCTCTAGCAGCTGGGGCATGATGGCTCCACTTCTCACCAGGCCCTACCACCTCCTTCTGTTTTACACCGGGTCTGCTTCACAGATTTCTATGGCCTGCTGGCTTCTGAGCTCATTCTAGACTTGAACCCCCAGGTCTGTGCCATAGATCTGGAGATCTGGAGTCCCCTTAGACTCACAGCCCTTTACACCTGCCATCTCTAGATTCTGTTCTTGCCAATGAGAATACAGTGAGAGGTACCTTGGAAATCTGACAACCAGGTAGAGGTTGGGGTGGCTTCTCCCAGGGGAGGGCGGTGGTGGTGATAGTAACTGTGGAGTGAAGTGTCCTCCAGCTCCTGTTATTCCATGGCCCCACACTGAGAAGCCATGGGTCACACGTGGCTGGCGTGGCCGGGCACTGGCCCGTGTTCCTCTGCTTCTTGCCGTAGGTCCTGGTCTGGCTTTCATCGCCTACCCGCGGGCTGTGGTGATGCTACCGTTCTCTCCTCTCTGGGCCTGCTGTTTCTTCTTCATGGTCGTTCTCCTGGGACTGGACAGCCAGGTATCAAGAGGCAGCCACTCAGAGGCTGAGAGATGCTCGGGAGGGGGAGCAGTGGGCATGTGGTTGAGTTTTATGCCCCAAAGGCCCTTAAAATAGCTGGGAACTGGGTGACTGTCGGAAGAGGATGCCCTTTTGGGGACACAGCGGGAGCTTGAGGGTGAGCCCAGACCTAACTAGGCAAGGACAATAGCTCTGGAGATCTGAGATAGTGAGGCTGGCAGGGCTGACCCTGGGAACGAGAAGCCAGCGCTCGTGGATGGGGCATCTCGGGAGCTCTCCTTCCCTCCAATCCCTTTGCCCTGTCGTCCAGTTTGTGTGCGTGGAAAGCCTAGTGACTGCGCTGGTGGACATGTACCCCCGCATGTTTCGCAAGAAGAACCGGAGAGAAGTCCTCATCCTTGCAGTGTCTGTTGTCTCCTTCCTTGTGGGGCTGGTCATGCTCACAGAGGTGAGGGCCTGGGGGAGGGGGAGGCTGGGGAGGAGGAGCCAAGTGATGGCTGCTACCTGTCAGTGAGGCAGATACCGCGGGGCAGGGCAGGTCGTCTGGGCTTCCGGGCACAAGGACTCCCTCTTTTCCCACCCCAGGAACGACAAAGTAGGCAGGTCTCTCCTGTGGCCTTGGGGCATGGACCACCCACCTCCAGGGATGGGTGAGGAGCCATTTGGCTCCACAGTAAGTGAAGAAGTATGCAAAGCACTGCATTGGGAGAAGCTGCCTCTCCAGCAAGATCTGGTGATTTCCCAGGCAGCCAAACCGAGTTCTATGTACAAACTTCAAAGCAGGAAAGGGAGCCCTGGGGCGGGCTGGGTAACATTCGGTGTGCTGTCTCCAGGGAGAGGGAGGGAGACGGAGCTTGTTAGCGTGACCGTATCAATGACGGCCCTTATCCTGATTCTTTCCCCAGAGTGCGCTCTATGTCTTGGCCTTTGGGGCCAGTCCCTAAGTGTTTTCAGAGATAACCTAACAAGAGCTGTCTTATTTCATACATCTTCTGTCCCAAAACAATGATAAAAATAATTAGTGTCTCTTATCTGCCTACAAATGCTTACAAATTGCTTCTCTTTTATGATCTGTCTCCTGTGGTCCTCACCAACTCTGCTCTGTGCCCCCGCAGTGTGAAACTAAAGGGCACAGGAGTGAATCTGTTGGTTTCCACCGGATAAAGTTCCGTTTAAAGTACTCTCCTCCCATGCAGGGCGGCATGTACGTGTTCCAGCTCTTTGACTACTATGCCGCCAGCGGCATGTGCCTCCTGTTCGTGGCCATCTTTGAGTCCCTCTGTGTGGCTTGGGTTTACGGTGAGTGACTCCTCCCCTAGGTCCCGGCATTCTCCTCTTGTCTAAGGGTCTTGGGGCCCTTAGACAAGAAACAGACATCTCCTGCTCACACTTGCCTTTTCCCGGCTGCCTCCTGCTCATCCTCAAAAATCTTGCAAATCCTAAGTTGCTGCTGTTGGAAGGCCCTCCAGAAGCGCCTGGCCCACAGTCTTGATTATAGCTACATCCAGACCACCTCAGGTGGGCCCATATCCTGCCCTGTCCAAATGTTCTCAGCTTTTGACAACCTCGATCATCAGAAAGTGACTGCCTGTAACCCAGGCCGAGCCCTGCTGGCTGCTGTTGACGCCTATGAGTGCCAGGGAAGAGCTTTCTCCCAGCCACCACTTCAACAGGCAGCTGCGATGTCATCTCTTTGTGGGTCCCTGCCCCTGCTGGTCTGCGCATGATCCCATCCTGATGTTCTGGGTGTGGAAGAATGACTTTCTTCCCCTTCCTTTCTTTCTGCATGGCAGGAGCCAGGCGCTTCTACGACAACATCGAAGACATGATTGGGTACAGGCCATGGCCGCTTATCAAATATTGTTGGCTCTTCGTCACACCAGCTGTGTGCACAGTAAGATCATCTCAGGGGCGAAGCCGGACAAAGGGAGGGAGACATGGGGGCTAGCAGGGTAGAGAAGCCGTTAGCCCTGCAATGGACTTCTCCCTAGGAACTGAAAATTATCTCAGATTTTCACTCATCCTCCTTTTGGATTCTAGAAAACTACAGCAAGATAGATTCTTCCTTTCCATTTCACAGAAGGATAAACTGGGGTCCAGAGCTGTCAGATGGTTTGACCAACACCACAGTGTGAGTCTAATGTCACAGGCCAGGACTGAAGCCCGGGTAGATTGGGCTGCTTAGAATAACACTAACAGGCCACAGCAGTCATCATGGCAGCCGGAACAGAGCACTTCCTTTGTGCTGGGCATGAGGTGCTTTAACATGTATTAACTCATTTAATCCTCACAAGAGCCCCATAAAGTGAGCGCTGTTGTTACACTGGTGTCACAGATGAAACTGAGGGTGAAGAGATTGTTAAGCCACTTGCCCAAGCTAGAAAGTTGCAGAGAACTGGGATTCACACCCGTGCAACCTGGCTCCAGAGTCTGAGTCTGCAGCCACAGCGTGCAGCTTCCTTTGGCTTTATCTTTTTGCGTCAGCTATTCCTGAGTCCCCACTGTGTGCAGGACATAACTGAGGAGCAGAGGGAGAACCAGGCATGGCCTCTACCCTTGAGGCACTCACATCCCAAACTCATGGTGCAGGGGAGGAAGTAAATACCCTACAGCGTGCAGTACGCATGTGATCGCATCCTAACTGGGAGTCAGCTGCATGCAGAGGTGCCCAGGGGTGCAGCAGCCCTGGAGTGACAGGGTATACTGCTGGAAGGTGTGGGTTTTGGGCAGAGTGTGGATGGAGAAGATTGGAGACTGATTGGCCCAGAATAGCCTAGAGGTGAATCCAGGCTTGGAGTGTAGTTTCTGCCAGGCTGCTGGGGGAGGGGGAGCTGAGGGCACAGGGACCCCACCCCCCAACGTCTTTCTCACCTGCTCTCCCCTAGGCCACCTTCCTCTTCTCCCTGATCAAGTACACTCCACTGACTTACAACAAGAAGTACACGTACCCGTGGTGGGGCGATGCCCTGGGCTGGCTCCTGGCTCTGTCCTCTATGGTCTGCATTCCCGCCTGGAGCCTCTACAGACTTGGCACCCTCAAGGGCCCCTTCAGAGAGGTAGGGCTTTTGTGGGCAGGAGAGCAACCAGAGGGGCTGGGAGCCTTCATAGGTGCCGACAGGTGGGCTGCCAGCCAGGGTGCACGCAGTTGTATGGAGAGGCCAGTGGACCTGGCCTGGGTGTCAGGGAGCAATAGAGAGGCTGCTGAGAAGTCTCAGGAAGAGGCAGAGTGACTCCCAGGCATGCACTGTGGTGACAAGGAGGGCAGGTTTGTGTGTGGGGAGGTGGGTAGATGTTGGTGATGAGGGAAGCTGGCAGACCTGCCCCCGCTCCGCCACCTGACAGCCACCTCCGCTCTCCCTGCAGAGAATCCGTCAGCTTGTGTGCCCAGCTGAGGACCTACCCCAGTGGAACCCAGCAGGACCCTCGGCTCCCGCCACCCCCAGGACCTCACTGCTCAGACTCACAGAGCTAGAGTCTCACTGCTAAGGGGCAGGCCCTCGGATGGTGCCTGTGAGCCTGGCCGTGGGGACGGCTGCAGAGGGAACAGTGCAGAAGCAGCCCGTGTGCTTCCTTGCCCCTCACCTGGAGTGGATAAGACAACAGGGGTATTTTGGAATCCACCTGCTGAGCTGGGCGCCTCCTACTCCAACATTTCTGCTCAGGGGTAGTTGAACAGATGTGAAAGGCCAGTGCCAAGAGTGTCCCTCTGAGACCCTTGGGAAGCCGGGTGGGGGCTCGTGGGTGGGGCGAGGCTGTTCCTGGCTTTGGGTCCTCTCACCCTTCATTCCATTAAATCCACATTCTTCCCACTGACTGCTGGTGCTTCCGTCTGATTTTTGCCCCTCTGCCTGTCTGCCTTGACCCTTCCCCATGTTACAGTTGTGGCTTTAGGACACTGTCCCTCCTCATCCTGCCCTCCCCCACTGAGTTCTCCCTGGGGCCCACTCAGCACAGTGATGGGGGCTGCGGGTAGTGGGTCCAGGCTGAGAGCCTCCATCATCAGGCATCTGGACCAGAGGAGGCTGCCCCGCCTCTCTCCATGCGTCCCCAGCTTCCTTCCTTCTCCTTTGCCCTGTGGAATGAGAAAGGAAATTGAGGGACACATGAAGGAGACCTGAGTCCTAGCCAAAGGAAAGGGAAAGGCTGGCGGCAGCTTCTTCCTGCCCACTTTCCCTGCTCTGTCCTCGCCTGCCCCCAGCGGCCAAAACTGTGCCTGTGTGTGCCCATCAAGGCCGGGTGTGGGGGACGTGAGAGAGGACCAGCTATGACTGCAGCCCCCAAGGTGGCCGGTGCGGGCAGCCTTGGCAGAGGAGGGCACTCCTGGCTCAGCCAGCAGAGGGATGCCACTTCCTCAGCACCGGTTTGCTCTTCTGAGGATAGGAGACACCAGATGCGGCCACAAGGGGGTGGTACTGCCATGGCCACAGATCTACTTGTCAGGGCCTGATCTGCAGGGAGGAGCTCTTAGGGTGAGGGTGAGGCTGTAAAGAGGATCCAGGTGGAAGGAAGTCCCTCCCCGCTCAGGATCAGTGGGGATGGGGGACCTCCTGAGGGTCCCACAGGTGTGTCTCTGCAGCCTTACCTCTGTGTGTGGGCATGGAGCTGGGGCCCATGTATTTCTGGCTGTTGCTGTGTGTGTGGTTTTGGAAGTGGCTGAACACACAGCTACATCTCTCCGTGCCTATGCACAGGCTTGGGCGTCTGCCCATGTGCCCACCTTTGTTCAGATGGGTCTCCTGGTGCTGCCCCTGGCGTGTCCTGTGACCCTTAGAGCTGCAGTCTAAGGGTGCACAGGCTTCCCTGGGTGATCTTAGCTTTTCACATGTCCATTAGTGGAAAAATGAGCTAAAATATTTTCTAGTCTTCAATTTTTGACTTTTTGTCATTGGAAGAGTTGGTGAAGATTAACGACAGCAGTCCTACTGTGTGTCAGCCCTGGCTGCCCCTTCCTGGAGAAAGACTGCTTAGGCATTCCCTGAGGGTGCTGGGCTCAATCTCAGTCTTACTGGGGGAGAAATACATCTGCTGGAGAGGCAGGCCGGAACTCGAGGTGCTCCCAGCCCGGCAGCTCCACCATCGGACACTATTGACAGAACACCTCCTGCGTGGTGCTGTGCTGTGCTCGTAATACGCCAGGAGCAAAAACAGATATAATTTCTTAAACAACAAGTGACAGATACAAAGAGCAAAGAGCTGTGGAAAATAGTGGCTGGGGTAGGGCAGGACCTCATGTGGAGGTTGGGTTCTACGGGTGAAATGCCTGTCTCTCTACCCATCCATCTGACCAAAGTTGCCAGAACTACCAGCCTCAGCGGGAAGGTTGATATGCAGTAATGGTGATCCGAGTCACACCTAGGAGCTTCCTGATGGCAGAACATGGTGGGAAAGTCACCTATTAGCATAAGAATCAGGAGGTGTGGTTCCAGAACTTGCTGTGTGTCTTTGTGCAGTCACTTGGAAATCAGGTTCTTTGCTTTGCAGTTACAGATAATGCTATGCACTCCTTCTACAAACAGGTTTGCTGTCGTGCTCAAAGGAGGTAATGGGTGTGAGATCCTTGGGGTCACTTGGTGCCACATGATGTGAGCTCATCACACTAGAGGTGGTTGAGGGGTGAGGCTGTAACAGCACAGGTGAGGCTGGCAGACAGAGACGTGAGAATGCTGCTGCCTTGAGTCAGGGGTCAGGGTTGAGGTGAGGAAGCAGGAGTACCTCGGCTTTAGCCAATGGGACTGAAGAGATGGTCATGGGGCAGAGGGCTGCTGAGTCAGTGCCACCTGCTTTCCCAGACTGGAAGGGTGGGCCCTGTATCTTGCAGTTCCCAGAAGAGAAGACCCTGAAGGAAGGGAGCCTTCTCTTATCTGGAGACCACACCTGTTAGAGAAGAAAGGATGGCAGTGAGAGCCTGGAGGCAAGCTGAAAAGGGAGAGCAGAAGCAGAGGTAGCAGGAGAGTTGCAGACTCCACCCAGGTCTGTGGGGAAGCAGCTTGTTAGGCACTGAGCCCACTAGGCTGTGTGGGGCCTCAGCCCTTGCCACATGGACACCTAGGTCTCAGATCCATACACAAGCATGCAGGCACGGCCCCTCTGCAGTCTCAGAGACATGTGCACATGTGCAAACTCAGAAACACCACAGCCAGCTGAGCATGCTTCTTTAGAGGGGCTTACAGGCCTGGCTTGGATCCTGTACCTTTTACTACTAACTGTGTGACCTTGGGCAGGTTAACCTCTCTGATCCTTAGTTTTCTCCTCCATAAAACAGGAATAGTACAACTCACGTCAGTGTTGTTAGACTCCAGCAAATGCTATAGGGACAGCTGCCCTGGGGACACATTCAGGCAGATCCATCCTATTTCCCATAGCCCCAACCCCACCACATGGGGCTGTTAGCATCACAGAAGAGTTTAGAGACATCCTTGCGGTCCCCAGTCTCAGACTAGGTTGCACTGACCTCCAGGAAGGAGATCACACATTTATTGAGCTAAGCATTTTTACTAGGAGGCAAGGGAGAGGTAGTCCTAAAATAACCCTGTTTCCTGTGGCCTAAGGGTGCTGCTCTGCATAGCAGCATTGTCCAAGACAAGCAGGACCTGAGTCATCCAGGCCTTCTGATTCTGGGAAAACTGTAATCATTTTTCCCCCTTCAAGTTGCATCCATCCATCCTCCATCCATCCATCTTCCATCATCCATCCATCCATCTTCCATCATCCATCCATCTTCCATCATCCATCCATCTTCCATCATTCATCCATCCATCCCTCCTCCATCCATCCATCATCCACCCATCCATCCATCCATCCTCCATCCATCCATTCATCCATCATCCACCATCCATCCATCATCCACCATTCATCCATTCATCCATCCATCCATCCATCCATTCATCCATCCATCATCCATCCATCCATTCATCCATCCATCCTCCATCCATCCATCCATTCATCCATCCATCATCTATCCATCTATCCATCCATCCATCCATCCTCCATCCATCCATCCATCCTCCCTCCATCCATCCATCCATCCTCCATCCATCCATCCATCCATTCATGCATCATCCATCCATCCATCCATCCATGCATCATCCATCCATCCATCCATCCATCCATCCTCCATCCAATAAGCACTGAATGCCTATTCTAAGGCAGCATTATATTATATGATATAGGCAGAAATAAAGAATTATGAAATGAGATCCCTGCCCTATAGATATTCATGGTCAGGGGAACAGTATGCTACAGTGAAACAAGCATAGATTTTTGGAGCGAAGAGGCCCAGGTTCAAATCCCAGCACCATCATTTGCTTATGCGTGGCCTCAGGACAAATCACTTATCTTCTATTCATTCACCTGTCTTCTGTCTGTAAAATGGAGCTAATAATTTTGACATTTCAAGATTCTTAAGGTGATAAAATGAGGTAACATGTAAAACTCCTTGTCTGAGTTAGATGCTCAGGAAATAAGCCCTATTCCAGGTCCTCTAAAAGTATGCCTGGGGCTAGAAGATGAGTGTGGGGAGAACATTCTGTGGTGTCCAGTGGTTCCTACTGCAGCCAGGTAATACATTCACCTAGCCACCTGTCATCTTCACTCTCCTCAGTGTGGAAATAGCCCGGTCTCAGCTAGGCTTTCCAGGATGCCTATCATTTGCAAAGATGAGGATCTCTGGCCTCAGGAATTTACTAACTGGTCTGAATACCAAGTGGATCTTGGGGGCTAAGAGAATTGGGGTGAACTTGAGTAAGGAAGGGCTCAACATGAAGATGGTGGGACTAAGGCCAGAGGCAGTCAGGTAAAAACAGGAAGGGACAAGGTAGCTCTTTTTGGGGAAAGTCCAACTGCACTCACTGGGTCAGGCCAACCAGGCAGCTGTCCTCTTACAAGGTGGAGTAGAGGTGACAGACTGCTGGGCTCTTGAAGCTCATCCTTACAGAAAGCATGTCACACTGTAGGCACGAAATATAATTTTTGAGGTAATCCACAAGGAAATTTACCCTCTTGGCCAGCCTGATCCTCTCCCCTCTTTCTCCTCTTTATGGAGAGGCTTGTGTTCTGGAGTAGCAGCAGCTAGGTGATCTCATGGACTTGGATGTCCCCTCTGCAAGCTCTGTAGTCAATCCACAGAAGACCTGACATGCAGGGACAGGCCACACTTGAACACCGGGGTAGCTCAAGTATGGATTCTGGCTGGGCCATGTCCTACTGTCCCACAGCTGACCCCCAGCCTGGCTTCTGGCTTCACAGAGGCAATGGGTCTGAGAACTGAGATCTGCTCTGCCTTCCTCTTCATGTGGAACCCCACAGGAGATGCTGAGAGGGGCCTGAGAGACACAGAGTGGGGGTGCTTGATGGAAAACTACAGACTGATATTCTCACTTCACACCCACCCCTGCTGGGAAGTTCTAAAATACAAAGAGGAAGCACATGTAAAAGGAAATTTCCCTTTCTCCCCACAACTTCCGCTGCCTTCACACTGCCTGGAGCTGAAGAAGCATCTCCTTTGTCTTGAAGGAGGGACCAGCTAGTCTGAATGAAGAGCAGTGGGACAGTGCTGTACCCAGCACCAGGTGGGCATGCTCAGGGACAGTGATGAGGACACTGTTCTGGAGGAGTTCACTGGGCTCATAGCATAGGGCACATGTATTAAAAAATCACCCTTCCCCATTGATAGCTGCCAGGCCACTCCAGACAAACCCTAGCTAGCTGCCTGGTGATGTGAAGTGACCAGAGCGGCCTGGGACCAGACCCCACACCATCCCAGCCTCTGCTTCCACAGGACCCACAACCAACACCCACACCTCCCCTCAAGCACC